TATAAAATGTGTCCCAAGGAAATTATCTTGAGGATAGTAATTTTCCCACATTGTGCAATATTAAATTCCAGACTCGAGATACCATACTTACTAAACGACTTAAAGTATCATTCTTTAATTTCTGCTGCCATAAGAATGCAATCCTATAAAAACAAATTTTTAAATAGAAGTATAAAAATTTAAGAAAGAAGAATGGAAATATTTTCTAACGTTGACAGAATATTCAATGACACTTGAGATTTTATACGCAAGTGCTCAGTGTCCAATGAAAATTGAGAATTTGCATTTTTGCTTTTTTCTCTTTTTACATGTAATCTTGTTTATTTAACACCTCTTTAATGAAGGTCCTGATAAGTGCAGGTTGTTAATGCACCTGCAGAAGGAGATAACCCTCCAGCACGCATTCAGGCAAGAGAATAATATAGCTCATCAAATTTCAAAGAAGGTTGTTGATCTAATAAAAGGGAAAAGACATTTTGTTTAACCACCATCTTATATAAAATATTTTGTGGAAAGTGAACTAGTAGAACACTATGCTTTTGTAAAGTATCTATCTTATGATGCTTGCAATACATTAGCAAGCTTAGGCAATCAAAGTGTCTTTAGTGNATATATATCCTGTTTGCTCAAAAAAAGATCCTGATAAGTATAGTGTGCTAAAAAACATGCCTTGGAGAGGTCCAAAACAATGTAACATTAAGGTAATATCCAAAGCCGTATATTAACTTTGGCCAAATACATCGACGGCCCCCTAAAATTGAGACCAATTTTCACTTTACTACTTATTCTTTAGTCCGCTCCATTTAAACATTTTAACCAACCCTTTAATGTGCCACTTACACACTAAAATCCCGACCCATATTAAAACAAAAGTGTGTGTGAGCAAGCATTGTCCATATATAATTTCAGCCGAATAAATGTACGCCATGTGGATCTATTGTCCACGTAATTTGCCTGGGTACCGGTGAGAGTACCTATAACTTCTACTATCCTACACTTACACTAGAAAAAAAAAAGAATGAAAAAAAAACTAACAAAAAAATAAAGTAGAAGCATGTTACTTACTTGAAGATCTTGTGAGGAATGAAGCTTGGGTAGTGGATGAGTAGAGAAGGGGGAAAAGGAGAGGAGATTTTGTTGAGTTGAAAAAATTGGGGAGAAGAAGAGCGAGGGGTTAGTTGTTTCTAATTTGGGGAAGGGGGAGGGGAGGTTTGTTAGATTGTTTGTTAGGGGGGGGGGGACGGGG